CCACAAGAAGTTTGGAGCCAGACAGAATATAGTCTCTCTTCCAATTCTGGCACATAAATTCCAGGTGTCTATGTGCATAGTACAGTGTCTAACAGATTTTCTTCCTCCAAATCACTCTAATGCATCCAGAACTCTTTCTAAAACATAGACTGATCAAGTTGCTAATCTTCTTTAAAACACTCTTTGACTCTTCCTTCACAGAGTGAGATTCAAACTCCTTAGGGTGGCACGTGTTTCTCTAAAGGTAGCTCCAGCTTCATCTTCGGCAATTTCCCCTAAATACCCTCCAATTTCACCTACCCACCAAATTCCAGTGGGTCCAAAAATGACCACTTGGAGTACATTTTTATAATCTAGTCTCCATCTCCCAAGACTCCCTTTTCTAGCAGGGAGATGACAATTCGTCCCTTACAGTTCAACTCAGATGACATATCCTCTATGAAGACTTCCTCTGCCACTGGCATTTTTTGTCCCCTCCTTTTCAGGTAATGTTTTCTTTGTGGCCACATCTTTTGAAGAAACAATTACATTTTATTATTATTTGCTAATTCGTTTACTTCACCTGCTAGAATTAGATCTTTGTAGAAAGGAGCTAAGTACTGAATTATTAATTTTTGTCTCTCCAGAATCTAACAGGACTTGTTTCGTGAGAGGATTTATAAACCAGGTGAATAAATGACAACTGGAAAGTATGAATTCAAATGTAAGAAATGATTGAACAATAATGACCCAAAATAGAAAACCCAGACAGAATTTGCTTCGGTTGCCTAAACATATCTACTTCCCTGATAACTCTACCTTGCAGTCATACTCGTTTTCAGAAATGTTAGTTAAGAAAGTGTTCAGATGTAATCACCACTAAGTAACCAGTAGCCACACATATTTACTAACTCCTGAATAAGTCAACTGATGCTTGGTTGTTGACAGAGTACTTCTGTGTAGTTTTTTAAAAATATTAGGCAGTAGAGCCTGTCATGTCCAGATAACTATGCTATTATTATTAGTTCATTACCCAACTTAAGTAGCCAATTTCAATATATTAGGCAGGAATTAATGAATTACCTCTTAATTATTAATGAGTGCTTAGAAGCACAAGAAAGGTTTTTATAGTAGGAAGTCTTCTTATAAATGCATTGTTTTCTTTTCACTTGGTAAGTGCAGAGATTAAGGAATAGACTCAATTATCTGCAGGGCACTGGAGATAATTTTAATAGGCACAACGGACCCAGATCACGTCACAAATCTTAGCGAAGGATAAGGATACCTGCCACAGACAGGAAGGGTTGGTTGGTGGCAGAGACCATCTGGCACATTAAAAGAAAACAACCCACCCACTTGCCCACAAAATCTGCTTCATCACCCTGTTAACGTTTTAAATGGGATTGCTTGCTGATTTGATACAGTCACGCATGTAACTGAACTCTCATTTCCATGACTTGAATGGTATTCTCATAAGACACAGGAAAAGAAAAGACATGAGAGTTTTATTTGGCAAGGGGTATACAAGAGGCAGTAAAGCTTCGGGAGGAAGAGCACTAGGCTCCGAAGGCACAGAGATGGGGGCTCAAGTCTTGGCCGAGCCACCTATTAGCTGTCTGACTCTGGGAAAGCTGCCTAACTTCCCTAAATCTCAATCTCTTCATTTATAAACCAGGACTAAAAATGAACATATGTCAGGGTGAAGGATTATTAGATAATTTATGTAAGTATTAGCACAAGACCAGGCAGAGAGGGAAGGCTAAAAGCTAGGTGGTAGCCGAAACTGGTTTGGCTCAGTGGATAGAGCATTGGTCTGCAGAATGAAAGGTCCCAGGTTCGATTCTGGTCAAGGGCATGTACCTTTGTTGTGAGCACATCCCCAGTAGGGGGTATGTAGGAGGCAGCTGGTCAATGTTTCTCTCTCATTGATGTTTCTAGCTCTTTATCACTCACCTTTCCTCTCTGTAAAAAATCAATAAAATATATTTTTAAAAAATAAAATAAAAGCTAGGTGGTAGTAGTTTAAGCCTTCATCCTTAACAACATCAAATCATACTTTGAACCTTGAACTAGATGATTTTTAACACCTTCAAAGATTTTATTACTAATCTTCATTCTATACTATCTTTGTTGTTGCTGTCATAGATCACTCCATCCATGTAAGTAACACCATCTTCCATCAGTGTTCAAGCCAGAAAAATGTAAACCATGGTGGATTCCTCCCTTTCTCTCAGTCCCCTGTCTGATCCTTTGGGAAATTCTATTGATTCTACACAAATACTCCCTTGTTATTGCAATCTCCACTGTCCAATGCACTATCGTCTCTTCCCTACACATTTACAATTAACATCCTGCTGGCTTGTCTGATCCTCTCCAGTCTGTTCTTCTGAACACAGAAAGTGGTCATGGACAACAGGGGGGTGGGGACATGCATGGGGAGGGGTTTGGGATGGGAATGAGGGGATGAAGACAAATATGTGATACCTTAATCAATAAAAGGGGGGTGGGAAACAACCTACCAACATGAATTACTTCAGTGCAATGAAATAATGTTTTAAAAAATCATTTTCTTGTGTTCAGTTCCCTTCTTTGATGCTCTAGTAAGTTTAGAATAATTTCTGGGGTTTTTTTGTGGTTTTTTTTGAGACAGAGACTCAACCAATTATCCAACCTTTCTAATGAATTTAAAAAAATGAAAGTTCTTTTAGTTCTTTTGATGGTTATAAAACCTAAAATGAAGCATATTTTTTTTATTCTATGACACCTATACGAACTGTCTGATATACTATATCTACTTCTACTTTCTTGTCAATAGATTCTACCTAGAAAACCTTTACATATGTATTGCCCTTCAAAAAAATAACAACAAAGCAAAATAAAGAAACAACAGGTAAACAAATCCCTAAAGACCAAGCTTATCTCCATATTTTCTGAAGAATTAAATGATCAATGAGCATCTTGTTAAAACTTTACATTTATAAAAACAAACTAAATCCCAGGGAAGGACAGGATTCATTTAAAGTCACAGAGCCAACCAGTGAACAGAGCTCAAACCCAAGCCTCTGTCTCCTAAGTCCCAGCTGTATTCCCTTCCTTAAAGTCTTACAGAATTTATAATGTAGCCTTTTATTGCTCAAATTTTAAAATTTCCCTTACATTTCTATTTTCTCCTCAACTATTAATAGATGGTAAGTTCTGTGAGGACCAAGGACCATATTGAATATCTGCTGCATTACTCCAAGCTCTCTCTGTAGTCTGTGCACCAGTTAGAGGCCTAACAAGTCTTTCATAATTGACTGTCTTGCTAATGGGAGGAGAAAGCAGCCAAGGGGTACGATGACCAATCAATTGGGAACAGCATCTCTACAATGCTTTTAAATATTAGGTAATACAGAAGTCTAAAACTTGACTGTGTACTTCCGCATGTGCATATAGCATGTATAAAGCACACGACTTGCATCTACTCATTCAATCTCCCAACATCTCTAGTAAGTCCTATCCTTTTTTTCTCATTACCCCGATGGAAGCCTAAAGCAGGCACAGAGAAGCTAATCCATATACTCAAAGTTATGCAACTAGAATCATATACACAGTTAACAGACAATAGTTGAGGGCATCCATTTAATTTGCTGTGGTGAAGCTCTATACACATTTATTGACAAGGCTAGTCATTTCTTTCTTGTGTGTGTGTGATAATTGGTCTTCATGATAGGAATTAGTATCAATGAACAAATAAAAAGGTGTTTCAATTTCTAGACTCATCTTCTGTTTCAAAGAGACACGGTATATATGGAATTATATGAACAAAAATATATTTAACATATAGGCTTAAACATTAGAATAAGTAAAATCATGATTAGTAAGATTAATACTTTTCTCCCCTCAGTAGAATTATTTGAAATTTAATCTTAAGCATGGGAAAAAAAGAAGGTAACAACATTGTTGCCCAAAAGCTGAAAGAACCCTGACTGGTTTGGCTCAGTAGATAGAACATCAGTCTGCGGACTGAGGGGATCCCGGGTTCAATTCTGATCAAGGGCATCTACCTTGGTTGTGGGCACATCCCCAGTAGAGGGTGTGCAGGAGGTAGCTCATCAATGTTTCTCTCTCATCGATGTTTCTAACTCTCTATCCCTTTCCCTTCCTCTCTGTAAAAAATTAATAAAATATATATTTTTAAAGCTGAAAAAAACAACTGGCTTAGGTAATATATTTGACAGATCAATATAATATGTATTTCATATTCTAAAGGATAAAATATGTAAAATAGATTGCACTACTATCTCAATGATCTTTTAGAAGTAAGTGATTTCTCCTCAATTTTTCTCTGTCAATTCACAAGGAAAAAACCAAAACACTAGTTTGAGAACACTGACTAGATTTCTTCTGGATGTGATTAAGGCTCATAAAGAAGAAATAAAGAACAAATTTAAAGAGCCTTTATGAATGCATTGCAGCAGCACTGTGCCAAGAGTTGACTATGCATTGAAAAATATATTGCCTTCATAATATAATACTGAAAAATATCACTCTTATTCAAAAGCTCTACCAAAAAGTATCCCAACAGAGTTATCAAGCCTAAGTCATTCTTTATCATTCCGGTATACAAAACCATGCTAAAAGAACTTTTTATCCCTTGTGGACCACATCAAGGCAGGCAGACTAAGCCCTGAGAGTTTTGATTGTTCCCAAAACAAAATGAGGAACATAATTCATGTCACAGTTCCACCACACTGTGACTTCTTAAATTTATCATTCCCCCTTGATGACAATAGAAAACTAATTGATCAACTAAAAGAAATGTGTGCTTCATTTTTTTCACTATTGTATGTTAACTGTATAAGTTACAGTTTGCATTTAATGCAGTACAAACACATTCTGGGAGTGGGGCACAGTCATGGGAGGGCTCACGTAGATTTTCAGAATTCACTAACAAGGCAGACGTGGATTACAAGATTAAAAAAAAAAAAAAAAACAAACAAAAAAAACCCCAAAAACCTCAAAAAGGAGTCATTACTCACAATGTTCATCAGGGTGAGGAGGTAGTTTTGGACGTGCTCTTTGCCATGGAAACGGACCACAGAGTCATCCACTCCCAGCAGCACTTCAATGTTGTAATCATTGTCTCCCGCATGTCTGCGGCGCCTGATTGTTTGGTTCAGCTGCCGGTCAACATGGTGGTAAACAGTACCTAGATCTTCAAGGCCTTCCAGCGCCGACTCTAGAAAGATATAAAGAAGCAAAAAAAAAAAAAAAAAAAAAGAAAGAAAGAAAAGCTCAGGCATTTCAGCTTCCCCAGGAGGTCTTCCAATCACGTTTTACAAGAAAAGGCTCTTCTAGGGGGCCCACCGCCGTAATTCATAATCACGGAGACACCGGTTTTCAGTTAATTCTGTAAGTAATGCGCGCAGCCACATGCTCAGACGGACGGCCTGTGGGTTCAGCACGGAGGGAAAAGTGATACTGTTGTGCAGAAAGCAGCGTGGCCATGCGGGTCTGAGTGTTCCGTGAGGATGAGAGCAGTTTCATCTTCCTCTCGCTGCATCCCCAGTACAGAGCAGAGAGAGTGGGGTGCAGAAATCTGCTGGCTACATGGTTATTAAATAAATTGAGATTATAAATAAAAAACCACGTGCTAATTATTTTATAGAGGTTAACTGAAGTAGCTACAATCATAGAGCGTAGAATTTGTGTGCCATACATTTAAATCGCTCCTTTTACCAGCAGCCTTAACTTAAAAATTCAATTATAGCCAGGACCGGTTTGGCTCAGTGGATAGAGCGTCGGCCTGTGGACTGAAAGGTCCCAGGTTCGATTCCCGGCAAGGGCATGTACCTTGGTTGCAGGCACATCCCCAGTAGGGGGTGTGCAAGAGGCAGCTGATCGATGATTCTCTCTCATCGATGTTTCTAACTCTCTATCCCTCTCTCTTCCTCTCTGTGAAAAATCAATAAAATATATTTAAAAAAAAATTCAATTATAGTGTGGCAACACAACCGCATCTAGTGATGTAATTATCAGTCATTGTATATTACTTTATTTATTCTGAATATGTTTTTCTAATGAATGTTGTGAGGGAAGAAGTGGATATTACCTTGTACATCCACTTAACATCCAGTTAACACTATAGATCTACACAACTGTACTGGCCATTATTTGAATAGATTTAAATAGCAGGTCATTTCAATTGCTAGATACCTGAATCTGTGAGATGCCAAAGTAAGAAAGTAAAAAAAAAAAAATTACCCATGGTTAAAGGAAAAATAATAATATAAGCAAATTTTAATTGTACTTTTGGTTAAAGTAATTACATTTTTTTTTTACAATGGAAATATACACCCAAACACACAGTCACACACACGTAGAAGCATATATGCAGATAAATAAACATATAGATATACATATTCTGTCTATTTATCTATCTAACTCTCTGGAGAAAGTGAATTGAGGCATTCTAAGGTTCCAAATATCTAGATGATATGCTTTCAGATTGCCAAATATTCGATAAATAAAATGTTTTTTATAGATTGAAAAATAAAATCCATCCTTTGAATACTAAAATAAAAAGCTATACAAAATTGCTGGTATAAAACTGAAAGCATATTCATTTCCATTTCAAATATATAAAACCTGGGGAAAATTTTTTACACACTACCTTGATGTCTAAAACAACCACATATCTAAAAACACTTCTGACAGAACCATGTCTGACTCACACTGTATATGAAGGCTTGTTTAATGCTGACCTGAGGCCTGTAAGCTATTTGAATTAGTGTCTGACATTAATGAATAGGCATTTTCCTCTCCACCTTTGTGGTTTTAGTAAAGCTGAGGGGTAAACAAAGATTCCTCTTGGCCAGAAAGATTGATGACCAAGCCATAGCCACGTGGGATTAGAAATAGTGGAAGTACAGATCCCACTCGCACCCTTCCCACTTTAAAAAAAAAAAAAAAGGCAAGCAAGCAAGAAACACCAGCATCCTCCCCTACAGTAGGGCCATAGCTCTTAATGTAACTACTCAGATTTGAAAGCTATACTGTAATTTGCTTTGACCGAAGCCCAACTGCTAGATCACTAGCTGGGAATTTCCTCCTCATCAGGGAATCACACTGGCTCCACAACACATAAATAACTCTCACCACCATCCACATCAAATGAAAAGCTTTCCTCAAAAGTTGTTTTTGAGAGTTGCAAACCTTCATTGAAGGCAAGAGGCTACACATGCAAACAGCTTTACTATTCAACCTCAAGTCTTTTCACACACTTGAGAATGTGAAAGGTTATGATTGCGTACAAACAGAAAATTCATACATGAACTCCCAGTTCTAAAAATGGTTCTGTTTTGGGCAGAACTGTCAGCGACCACATCCAATGGAAATATACCAGCAATGTCATCATATCATTAAGTCTGATGCATGAATGAAGGAGGCTGAATACTTGTTTCAGAGAGAAGGTTCATTTTGCTGGAATACATCCTTGGTTTGGCCTTTCTAACTCTCCTTGAACAGGTAGTTTTCTGGAAAGAGAAGAGAATCTCTGTTTCTCTATCCCACCCTCCCTCTCCCTCTCTCTCTTAATTGCATGGAACCTAGGGAGGAAGGAGGACTTTTTTTCTTTCAATAACTACCTTTATTCAATCAGTGATGTATAATGTTCCTTATTATTACTAGATGGGCATTGCCAAACATTTAAAAAAACAAACAGGGGAATAACTTCTGACATTATCTATACACATCTCTGTTAATTACAGATAGTTGTGAGTCTACAAATTATCTTCATTCATCATGAAATTTTCTCAGTATGCCCACTTTATAATATAATGATAAATCAATTAATAGGTAAATCAATTATAATATAATGATAAATCAATTAATTTTAAGCAGGCATACCTAGCTTTAAATTCTGGGAGTGTCACACCCTAGCAGTTGCTTTTATTTAAAACTAGGGGCCTAGTGCATGAATTCATGCACCTTGAAAGGAACTGTGGACCACGAGACTGTGGTGGGCACAGGGGCGGGTCTTGGTCCAACTTCCGCACCCTACCTGGCACCTCCCACCATGGTCCCCAGTCCCCCGTCTGCTACCAGCCCAGCTCCCACTGCTGCTGCTCTTACATGCTCACGGCACTGGCCCTGCTCACACCCATTGATTGCACAGAGCAACTGGGGCTGGTGCCAGCAGCAGGTACAAGAGGGGCCAGTGCCATCAGTTGCTGCCCTGACTGACCGGTTGTTTGGTAGTTCCACCGTTCGGTCAATTTGGATTTTAGGGTTTTATATATATAGATGCCTAACTTCTTTGAGCTTCAGTTTCTTCATCTATAAAACTTTGCAGACTTGCTGTAATGATATGATTAATGATCACACACACACACACACACACACACACACACACACACACAAAAAAAAAATGTGCACACTGCCTATATGTTAGTGCTTAACAAGTATTATTTACAGCTACTTGTACAATAATGATGATGTGATCATGGTTTCCCACTAAGAGAAGACATCATTTTTGACACTTCCTACATTCTATTTTGTATATCGCAAATCAAATAGTTATTCTTTTAAAACAGAGATGAGGAAAAATCTTGAATTAGTGAAAGAAACTTTGAACTGCTGGTAATTTTAGAAAGACTGAGAGTAACAATATCTCCTGCAGTGCACAAAGTACACACAAGAGAGAAGAATCTAGAATGTTTATGTTCAATGTTAAATTAGGATCAAAATCAATGAGACAAGCTTCATTAATAGATTATAAACATTCAAAATTGGAAAGAGTTAGCTTATAGATGGCGCTGATCTTCATCCCACACACACTTATTGAGTACCTACCCATGTGGGAGACCCTGAGAAGGTAAACAACTACTCGGCAACTTCTCCAAGTGGAACCACTGGGAACCACAGGGCTGTACTGGATTTATAATATTAAGAGTATAGTTGAATTTTATCATGTAGTAAACAATTATGTAGGCTTGAGTCACTTTCCCAATTGCTGGGTTAAGCAGACCTAATCAGAGTGCTAAACCATGCCCTTTACTAGAGTTCACACCTCTATAAAGCATCGGTGTTAAAGAGCTGACACACTTTAACAAGTCTCTGTCTAGTTCTCCATGGTCTCTTCCCTTCCCCTTCCTCCCCCCCCCCCCCCCCCCGTAGGAATAGCAACATTAAAGCCACTATTATTCTAATCTTGTCAAATCACTCCCTAGCAGATCTGTTCAGTGTAAAGGGGACTGAGAGGAACCACAGGGAAGTCAGCAGGCAAGTTCAAGAAGTGAAAGCTGAGTGACATTTTGCACTGGGTGCTGCAAACTGTGGATCCTGATGGCATACTGCTACATAAGCACATTAAGGGGACTTGAATAGCAGTGACAGACGCAATAACAGAATTAGCAGGAAAACTGAGCATCCCAAAATGAATAAGTCACTGCACTAAGTAAAGTGGTACTACACCTCCTCCCACTTCATTCCAGAAAGTGACTCTCAGTACTTTTCATGCTTTTCAGAAATATCAAATGCAACCCCACTTAGTACTTAGATTGAGTGTGTACTCTCTCTCTTTTTTTTCTTTCCTCCAAACTCCTTGGAAAATGGAAGTTTTTGAAACTTACCTGAGGAATTAGGATTACTATTTTGGAAACATTTTTATTGTATTCTTTTATATACCCACCACCTTTCCAATTGCTGTATATGAACTTTCAGAAAAAGGAATCATCCTATAATATAAAAGGAATCAATATGACTGAGCAGTGGAACGACTAGTTGCTATGATGCACACTGACCATCAGGGTGCAGACACTAACGCAAGAACTGCCCCTTAGTGGGCAGTGCACTCCCACAGTAGGAGCACCGCTCAGCCAGAAGCCAGGCACAGGGCTGGCAGGAGCCCTTCTGGCCTCCACAGCGGTTGGACACCTCCCAAGGGCTCCCAGACTGTGAGAGGGTGCAGGTTGGGCTTAGGGATCTCCCCAAGTTCACGAGTGCACTAGTTTTACTATAAAACCTGTTTTTATGGAAATAAAATATTTTTTTGGGGGGGGCATAGTCACAAAAAGTATAGTTATTTTAGTGTTATATAGAATTGTGTTACCTCAGAATTTTGAACTTATCAAGCAGAAAAAATAGAATATGAATTATTTTGCTGATTATGGATATTGAAGCTTAAGACATTTTCAGAATGGAATATGGAATGTGTCTATGTCTAATTATCTTTACATT